TTCAATTTCTTTATTAATTAAAAAATCCTTTTCTATGATGCCTGGCCATGTGATAAGATCAGAAGCATTTTTGATATTTTCCATGCTTCTGTCTATTGAAAAGTAAAGAAAATAAAGAAAAGATAAACATTTTAAGATTCTAGTATCAGAAGTAATACATTCCAATATTATGTTTTCATTGTTCTTCCAGATGTCCTCCCAAAATTAAGAAATTCATTGCAAACTTTCTGTAAAATATATCCACTACGTTCAAACTAATAATGTGGACTAGTACAGAAAAAGAGGCTAATGGAGACCATAGACAATGAAAAATGTCTAACCATGGAGACATTTTTCATTTTGTCACATATATCTCGAATCTTCTAGAATCGTGAGTCTATAAATCTTGCCTTCAAATCCTTCTAAACTTTCCAAACTGTAATGTCTAAAATCCCAAAGAAAAATTATCCCTACCATTTCTGCAACAGAAAAAAAGCCAGAAATATTTTGGAAAAAAGTATAAAATTAATTTTATAGAGAAAACTGATGCACATTCTGAGAATTTTGAATATTCTGAGCCAATTACATGGGAAAAACTCTTACTATGAAAAAATTAAAAACAAGACATTTTTAATTAATTACATATCTAATTTTGCTTTTGCTAAGAGCTGTTTCATAAATTGTGCTTTATAGCATTACACATTACACCTTGTTTATTTTTTCAGATTTAAAATATTGTATAAGTTGCCAAATGAAACTTTATAATATGACAGCGAAAAATAAAATGTTTTATTTTAAGTTTATTTTTTTAAATATATTTCATAATACTATCATCATTATTTTAATAAAATTTATGTTACGATGTTTTAAAAAAATCGTCGAAAAATTCTCAGATTTTGGAATTAAAAAGCCTATAGAAACTAATCTTAAAAATCGCCAAAATGTTGAAAAGTCACCAAATTTAGAACCGTTTAATAAAATAATTCACATCCTCAAAAACAAAAAGTTGTTTAAGAGCTCTTTACTAGAAAAAATGAATTTCGAAATGCTTATGTTTCACTTCTTGCTTAGAAACTCGAGTATCTCATCATTTATATTAGAAATAGAAAGAAATTATAACTCATGAACCCATTCAAAAGATTACCATATATATGGCAGTGAATCACCAAAAATATTCCTCAAAATGCTAATTCACACTCAAAATGACAGTCGTAAAAACACACAGAAATTTCAGATGATTAAAATTAAGGACCTTCTGTTGATTTTGACCAAAATTAAGGACTTTTAAGGACCAAAATTTGATACCAAAAAATCTAAGGACTTTTAAGGACTCTTAAGAACCGTACGAATCCTGTTAGTGGGTTAATATACAGTATTTAATATAAATTTCCAATAAGCTACTGAAGGACCAGACATGATAGGTTGTTTTGTACTATTTTACATCTCATTATCTGAAAGTAATATATTTTTGTGCTATATCTAGCATACACAATAAGGATTAAGGAAAGGAGGTAACTCATCTTAATATGTACAAAAAACTTCTAAGGGTGAGTAGTTAGTTACAAATAATTAAATTACACATTAGATACTCTTAGTCATAAGACCTTTACATGGTTACAATTTTTTTATTTCTAAAAAATATAGATTAAAAAAAGCACCAAGAACTTTTATAGGCAGTTATTATTCATAATAATGATTCGAAAAAATCAATAGATCAGTATAACTATACATTAAAAGTTACACAAAATTTATATTTTGCAGCAACAACAAAGTGTTTATGTGTGTTTTTAACTTGACAATTTTGCAGATATTTTAGCTAATTTATATTGATTTCTTTCTCTTTAACATCTTTTCTACATTTCTTTCTTTCAATAAAGAAATCAATGTTCCCAGGAGTTTCTGCTTCATCCCTTAATTTGTTAATGTTTCAACAATCTACCTTTGAAGAATAATTTTCTCTCTATGTATAAAACAAATTTCTTTTTTTAATGAACTTCCTCTTCTTTTTAGAATTGTCAGATTTAATTAAAGAGTTATTCTAAAAAACCGTGTTTGAATTTAGAATTTATAAATGAAATGAGACAAAGTCAAGAATAGTGCTGGAGCCAGTGTGGCAGAATTTTTAGAATTTAGTGAAGTACCGTGCAACAAAATTTAAGGCAACATTTTTAGAATTTACAGCAGGCACTGAGACATATAGGATGATTCTTTTAATTAATTGTCATTTTTCAATTTCTTTGCTTTGTCTGACTGCTTCAATGCTTGTAGCTAGAACAAAGATGAGAAAATAGAGGGAAGATTAAGAGAAAGACTTCTGGGATCGAAAGAAGAAAATTCAAATAATTTTTTATTTTACTGTTCCAAAAATTCTTTAAAGAAGAAGTAATTAATCACAAATTTCCTACAAAGAGATCCAGTATGTGCTAATACTATGAAGACACTTTTCATTCTGTCACACTGTTCAGGAAATTGTACGCCTATCAGTTTTGTTTTCAAAATAATAATCTATAAATCTTGCCTTCCGAGGTGCAAGGTGTAAAATCCGAAAGAAAAATTATCCCTACAACTCTGTACTGTAAGTAAAAGACCTAAAGATTTTTGAAAAAAATTCAGAAAAGAGAAGAGTAAAGTGAATTTTCAAGAGAAAACTGATACACATTCATTCAGAAACAATTACGTGGGAAACTCCTAACATGAAAAAATATTAAACAAAGACAAATGAAATTTACTTTTAAATGGTTACAGTAGCATTTTTTTTTTATAAGAAGTGCTTCAGAAACTGTGCTTTATTGCATTTATTATCTTGCTTATTTTTCAGAATCAAAATATTTTGAAGCCTCTAAAAATAAAAAAGAATGTTACTTTAAAATACGGCAGCAGGAGAAAATAAAAATGTTTTATTTTAATGTGAGTAATGTTAAAGACCTTTTCCCAGTTTTGGCCGAAATTAAGGAATTTTAGGAGCCAAAAACTGCTTCCAAAAAACTAAGGACTTTGAAAAGACCTTTAAGCACTGTACAGACCTTGTTAAGTTACTCAGAACAGAAGGCATTACATACTTCATTTTAACAATCACGAAATGTATTTCTTGATTTTTAAAATGAAATACACCAAATGTATTTATTTCATTTCAATAACCAAGAATGTATTACATTTTAATAATCAAGAAATACATGAAATTATATTGTATAAGAAATGCATATCAAGAAATGTATTTGAAAAGTATTATTACATACTTCATTTCAAAAATTAAGAAATGTATTTAGTATAAGTATGAACCAAAAAAGAATTTTTATAAGCAAATAAACTATTTGGCAGTTGCAATTATCACCAGCTACATTATTTATTTTACTGCTACACAATGCTGTCTGCCCATGAGTTGATATGGTAAGCAACTGAAAACAAATTTTAGAAATTTGAATTTATGCAAAATTCAGTCAGAAAGATTTCATCACAAATTATATTGATATAATCCACTGCAAAGTCCTTAAATTTAACAGTCTAACTAGTTTTGAATCATAAGGAATATATTTTGTGTAAGCAACATAAAATTAAGAAAGTAAGAAAGCACTGAAATTTCATATCTGTAAAAAAAAGAAAAGTAAAATAAATTGTTATAATTTATGTGAATATTTGTGTTTATTTATCTACATTTTAGTTTTTATCCATTGCATTATACGTAGTACATTTGCTTTTATTTATTTACTTGTTTGGTGCATTTTGTTAGGTAATTTCATGTTCTTTTTACTGTGTATTTTATTTAATCTTGAATCTGTGAACCTTTATCTTATTTGTATAATTTTTTATGTACTATTTTCTACACCTTTTAACTATTAGTTGACTCCAGCCAAATTGGCAACATTCTGGAGAGATTCCAGAAAACATGTTCTGGAAGTTCTAAGAGTGATTTATCTAGAAAGTTTACAATAATAATTGGTACAAATAGGATGTTGCACTGGAGAAAGTCAATTTTACCTCACAGTCTTTTCAGTTTGGGTGGTGATTGATTGCTGCTTAAAATTTTTACTTTGTAACCAATGTTATAATATACGATACTCTTCTCATGCAACAAACTTGAGTTTAGGTCTGTGTTCTTCTGAACCTATTTCTAGCTGTTTTTCTTTTCTGTAAGAAATGTAACCCATTTCAAGACTTAAAAAAAAAAAAAAAAAAAAAAAAAAAAAAGTTTCATGTTTTTCTGTTTATCTGATTTAAAGATCTCTGTGAAGTTGTAGCATGCAAAAATATCCCTCAGGGCTCATCATTGATGGTCTTTTGATTCTTTTCTTTGAACTTTATTTCATATTAAATTATTCAAGAAACTTCTTCAACTTGGAATTTTTTGGTTTAAGCCATTGGCATTCATCAAAATCCCTAACAGTTAACAATTTCAATTTTAATCCAGTTCTCCACATCTAACAGCCACAACTGATTTCTTTTATTTAAGTTTTATTAAACATATAGCCCTTTATATTGTTTTCTTCCTCCAATATTTATTTATTTTATTTCATTCATTGAATGATATATTTCCAGCCTGCAGCACAGAATACGATAGTTCTAGATTTTATCGGCAAACAAAGTGCCAAGGAAAAAAATGTTGCCTAATTTATGCATCATACAAAATAAATAAATAAATAAACAAATAAATAAACAAATAATCTAAATCAGGAGGGGAAGCTTATTAAATTTACTGTTTTAAAAAAATAAAAATTCCCACTTAAAAAAGATTATTGCTTCTTGGTTTCGAGTTTACATATCATTTCGCGATAAACATCAATAAACATGGCAATTAATTGTTGGGCATTGGTAAAACCAGCAAATAATCAGAATATTTTAGCTCCTTTAAAGAAGAGATCCCATACCTATTTTCTTCAAAATAAAAAGTTCTCCTACAACACTTAACACCAATCTAAGAATGAATTTTGCCTAAATTTAAATAACAAAATATATTGAATTAATAAAAAATAGTAATAATTAAACAAAACATTTATTAATAGTAAGTATATTTCTGAAACCCATACCTGTTCTGTCAATTCATCTTTCACTGTTAGTAACTGATTTATTTGAACAAGTATTTCTGCCTTTTCCCGCACTAGAAGACAAAAAAAGAAATGAATGTAATTTTTTTAATAATTATGTGCGCACAATTTCTGTTCATTTTGGGGTTTTTTTACAAAGATATTTTTAACAGCTATAAATTATTAAATAAAATTTTATCTGTTACCAGTAAGTGACAGATAAACAACTAAAAACACAACATACAGATTATGAAATGAAAGTCTAACAAGTAAACTGCAGCTTTTAATGCAACTGGAATGTAATTTATTAATAATAATTAATTTATTATTTATTACAGTTTACTTGAGAGTAATTCAGAGATTAGAAACATCCTGTGCCATTGTCCCTTCAAAATTCTACCTCATTATTTAATAACAATCAACTTTTAACCCACTTCATTTTTGCACTTCATAAAATAGCTTATGACCATTTCTACTATTTTGTGAAGGTATCTGATTTAGGAATCTCTGTTCAGAATGTTACGAGTACAAACTTCTCATAAATAATTTTTTTCAACCGATTAAATTCTTGTCAGTTGCATCCACCTGCTCATATTATGTCCAATAATATACACCTATTTTGATGGCATGATTCCACAACTTTAGAAGGCAGGCCCCAAATTTTAATCATTTTTTCTTAAATGCAATTGAACAAATACAGATAATTTAAACCCTTGTTAAAGGATTAGAAGTCCTTAAAGTTAATTTATATAAAAACAAAACATGGCTTTTAAAGAATCACTCAGGTTTACATTTAATGAAAGTACAGATGCTATATCCTACTTATGTTCTACTTATCCCTAATTAACACTAAACTGCTCTGCTTGGCGACAGTTTCAAACTCAACAGGATAATCTAAGCATCAATTAAATTTTGACCAGATGTATACAATTACAAAATAAATAAATAAAATTATGTAAAAACCATTAAAATAGGCTCAATGTAATACAGAAATAATTAATAAAATAAAAAATAAACCCTAAAAGAAACATAAAAGAAAAAAAAGAAAAAACATAAAATTGGTATAAAAATGGATATTTGCTGCCACAGCTCTACAACTTCAGCTACATGCTAATCACAGGTCACCTTTACAGACAAATTTCCTATTAACAAAATTAATGAAAAGCAAAGTTTCCAAACGTTGTTTGTGCTTAGCTCTTTATCAACAGGCAGGAATGGAAATGAAACTTGATTATTTACTGTAGTTCCAAGTAATAATAAACACAGAAGCAAAAATAATGAAATACAGATACAGAAGTAATAGTCTTTTTAATACAGAAGCATATATTATAGATTTAGTTACAAAATACAGAGTGATTGATTTACGGCCAAATCACGATTCAAGAGCTCCAATAAAATTGCAAACTCATTTAACTAAGCAAAGGCTGAAGCTCACTTAAATCTGAACTTCAGAACTAAACTGCACTCACAAAGTTTCTGCCAATGCTTAGTTTCACTACAGAACATTAATGGAATACTGCAGTTTTCTGGACGAATACATCAAAACACTTTTATTTTCCGAGAACTTGCTGAAGTCTGAAAATAAATGCCATGCGCCTTGCCATGTAATATTTGAAATGAATTGGAGATGTATTTCATACTTTGGAGATTTGTGATTTGGCCTTCCACAGAATGCCTAAGCAGTTTGCGAAATGTTTAAATGTTCCATACACTGCCAGCCAGTTTTCAGCATTCTATAAAATGCCTAGGTAATGGCGGATTACATACTTTGCCAGTAACATAAATGTATAAATAAATTCAATCTCATTATATATCTCATATTATTAGAGTACTTACTTTCTCCTGATTCCAGTATTCCATAAAGCTTTTTATTTCTAGTTTTCACATTTTTTAGTTCTTCCTAGAAATTTAAAACACATATGATACACATCAATCTACTTAAATAATATGAAACAACACTGATTCTATATTATATATTTAAAATTTTACATTTAATAATGCAGAATAAGATTGCACACCTTCAGTTTCTTTAGACTTTCATTTAACATAGCTATTTCTTCATCTTTTTTCCTTAGTTCTTCTTGGCACTGTAGAAAACGGGCTGATTCTAAGGCAGGCTAAATGGCAGAACAAGATATTAAATCATAAAAATATATTTTAGCCTGATAAAATATGTTAGCATGAATCAAAACTGCAGAGTAATTCATATCTCAACTGATTTAGAAATCGTTACCAGTACTATTAAATTCATTATTTAGTCAATTAATATTAAAGTCACATATTAAACTTTAATGAATGCGAGTTAAAAATTATAGATATTCATGAACATTTTTAAAATCTCAATTTATTTTTGAAATTATTGCAGCTAAATATGTTTATTTTATATTACTAATCTTAAATAACACTCACATCAAGTGACTTATAATGTTCCTGTTTTTGTTCTTTAGTGATAATTTTTTCAGCATCTTCTTCTATTTTATGGAAAAAGTCTGATTCATCCATAATAGCCGATTTTTGGGATACATCAAAATCATCAAGATCTATAACAAAACCAGAAAAGTAAATACACAACCTTCATAATATGTAACTTATAAGTCGTAAAAATTACTCCTTTGCTTGCTTGAGAGAAAGAGAGATGAAGAAACATAAGAGAAAAATGAGGGAAAAAGGGAGTGAATAAACACAATTTTGATAGTAATTGTAAAAAATTTACCTGGAAATATATTTTAATCGCCAATAGAGAGCGTAAATATTTTATGATGTGTATTTCTTGTTCTTGGATCTGGCAGTGGCAGTTGAATGCACGTTAGACTTGAATAAACTTGGAAGTTTGAAACCCAATTTGAATGTTCATTTTAGTTGGTGAACTTGTGTATGATTTGAATTAAGTAATGAATCTTGAACCAGGATAACATGAAATCTTTTCTGTTCTATTAAATTATTTTACACTAATTCCTTTTTCGATTTAACTGCTATATCACAATTTAACAATGCTGCATTAAACTACAACAGCACGGATTTATTTTTGGTAAATGTAACAGCTAGCAGAAACATATTCAAAAAACTGCAGCAGGCTAAAACAGCACAGTAATAAAAATTACATTACTCTCTTTATGCCTATATAATATTTTAAATTTGAAGTGTTGCATATTTAAGTTCTTTTTCTTCATCAGAAAGCACCTATCATAATCATCACTTAAACAATTAAAACAGTTTAATTCTGAATTTCAAAAAAATATACGTCTTTGCACTGTAATCACGGAATTGTACTTCGCAAACTCAAGAACACAAATGAGTTCTGCTGTGGAGTAGCCATTTTAAACATGTGATAATTACCATGCAAAACAGAAGACAAATGACATCTAGCGGCTATTAATATAAACTAGACTATGTATTCGTTTCGCCATTAGCCGAGCCGAGGTACAGTGATCGATAGTTTGGACTTAAAATAACACTTTGTAATATGTATATTCTTTTTGAAACATAGTGTATATATAAAAAAAAAAAAATAAATAAAAATAAAAATAAAAAAAACAAAGTTTTTATTTACTACTTATGGCCTTAAAATTCTATCTAGCACTACTCAATAATAAAAAAAATTAAAATCTATAAAAATTAAAAATCAAGTTAAGACAACTTGTATAATCAAGCTATGTCTCAGCAATTTAGTAAACATAAATTTAAATTACTCTACAATAATAAGTTTCAGAAAGACTTCTATGTTAAAGAAGGCACATAGAGAGGAAGGGAAAAAAAAGGGGAGAAGGCTAAATGTTATAATTAAACTTAGAATTATCATAATTGTTTAGGTAAGGCTTTTTAAAATTTTCCACACAATCAATATATATTATAAAAGTAAGTATACAATGTGCGTGCTGCTAAAACTCAGAAACAAGTCCCAGTACGATCAAGGGAGTTGTCCAATTCATGAAGAAAGTTCCCATTTTTACCTGAAGTGCATGCTTTTGAAAATATCAGGGCTGAAAGTTTTGCCCTCTAGAAATTTCTAGAACAGTCCAAAACATTCGAGAGCATTCCATGACATTTTAGAACATTTTCGAATGTTGCACAATGCTCAGGAATAGTTTGGAATATTTGGGAACATCCCAGAACACTCTCGAATGCTGTGGAATGTCTTGGAACATTTTAGACCATTCAAAGACTTTTTTTGTTAGGGTGGAGCTACCCATTGGTAGGGGTATATAAAGCAAGATCCGCTTGCATAAGGATTAGCAGCTGATTGTGAATACCTGGTATGTAAAAAAGTTGTAACAGATCTGCTAACAGTACGAGAGAAAACTTTTACTTCATCCACTGTAAAATCTATACCCAAGTACATCAGGCTATACGGTAGTTCTCCCACTTTCTTAGCATGCCTCCGTGGTGTGGTCAGCACGCTCAACGTATATTCAAGAGGTCCATGGTTCGAGTCCCGGTAAGAGCACTGCTCTTTTTTTATCTTTCTTGCTTCCAAATTAACCTAAGGTCTCTACAGTGGCGCCCAAACTAAAAGGCGGTAGATGATGATTTTCCACCACCAGGATTTGGTGATTGGATGCCCTAATTTCCAGTCACCCTTTAAAAGGATAAAGGTAGTTCCCTTATACCCTTTAAAGTATATAAGGTAGTTCTCCTGCCTTCTTAGCATGCCTTCGTGGTGTAATGGTCAGCACGCTTGATGGGTATTCGAGAGATCTGTGGTTCGAGTCCTGGCGAGAGCATTGCTTTTTTTTTTTTCATCTTTCTTGCTTCCAAATTATCCTACAAGGCATCAAATTCTTTCCCAGACTGAAATGACTCTGCATGAATCATGTTTTTCTTAGATTGAAAAAGATTCCCTCGGTGGTTACTCAAGCCATCCAATTAAATAATAAATTAGTACCTTACAAAATGAATAAAATTAGTACATTACAACGAATGCTATTTTTAGATCAGCGGTTAGAAAACGTTTTAGTATTGCAACCTCATTTTCGGTGCTCAGGCCATATTGCAACTCAAGATTCTCGGGAATGTGTATTTTATATGTTTGGATCCCTGTTATACAGTCTTGTGACTTCAGATTTTTTTTTTTTTTTTTTTGGTAGCCCCTAGTTTGAAGACCACAGCGGTTAATCTGTGGATCATGGTAATTTGGTGATTTTTTGGCGAAAATTTGGCGACCAACCCTGCTACAGCAACCTGCTAGTTTTTGTTTGGACGCCATTTTGTTTTCATGAAGCAAAGGCATGTTTTTTTTTTACTCAATAATATTTTTCCAACAATTGATAGCCAATTACGCTTATGCTAGAACTTTTATGGAACAAAAGTGCTTAATCATGACGAAAATTAGGTGCAAAATTGGGAGAAAGTGCAGAATCGCCCACTGCTTGCCGCATTTTTAAGAATTGCACATACACGGTATCCCATGTACACGTCGACCTATTTCACTTAAAAAAACATCCCAGAATTGCACAAAAATGGCATTGCGCACACTCTTGACTTTATCCAAGTACACTGCTAAAGTCCTAGCTAATAACCTTTATCGCCTTACCAAAATGTCGCCAAACTACATGTTACCATATTCCAAAGATTAGCCACCACAGCTTTAGACAATGATCACAGTTGCTGAGAAGCAACAAGGCTGTACAGAAAGAAAGTCACAATGAACTGATTCAGAGAAAATAAACCTGACAAAAAATATTACAGAGGGAACTGATTTTAATGCAAGTTTTGAGTGAAAAAAATGTAATTTAAGAAGTTAAATTAACAGTTGATAAAAACAGCACATCACTGGATGTTTTATATTCAAAATGCATTATGCTTCAAAAACAAAACTTCTGTTTCCTGCAAGCAAGCCTCATTTAAAGGACCAAAAGGGACACAAAGTGCACTTAACCTTTTTATATTATAAGACGGGATGGCCATTATAGTGGTCATAGAGTCCTCTCTTTAAAAAGATGGGGTTGTCCACTTTAGTGGTCATGTCTTTTCCCCCCATTTTCCAGGCTGAAAAGTGGGGTGAAATGTCAAATTTGATGTCCCTGGGGTTTTAACCACCTATCTCTTTCAAAGGTCTTCTTTTTGCGACATAGATGCACCCCTCTGAGAATCCATTAAACTACACAAAAGAATCTTTGTTGCAAATAGGAGGTGATTTCTGAAAGGGGGGAAAGCATTTGGTTCAAGATTCCCCCGTCTTTTGGTAGCTTTTACTGCTACCAAAGCCCTGGCCTCAAAAGGTTAAGGCACACAGTCCACAAGCCACAGTTTGGCCATGGCTGCTGTTATATCTATGGAAAAAAATTATTTGCAGGTTATTTATGATTTACAGATATCCCATGCTTTGCTGCAAACTTCTTTAACTTTTTAAAAATATATCTTCCTAATTTTGAAGAGTACACTATTGTTCTTATACTCAAATTCTTAAATTTAATGATGCACTTGACAAACAATCTGCGTATAAAGAGTTTGCTGTGAAACTGTCGATTTCTAAACAGGAAATAATGACAGTAATAATAATTACAATTTCATTTAACATGAAACTATAAACAAATGAAGTCAAATAATTGGAGCACTGGAGCATTACTATTTTCTTTTTCTTTTCTTTTCTTTTTTTTTGGCAGCAATCTGACACAGAGGGTACTCTTGGATGCAATTTAGAACACAAAATATATGGAAATGACAAACTGAAATTTCTTAAATGCACTCCATGATAAAAAAAGTGGCTTAATAATGAAGTTCTAGAATATTTGTGCTTCCCAAAAATCATTCTCTTTATCACTTTTTCAGCTAATATTTGAAGCCTGTAAAAAATTTTCAATTCATTACTTAACTCCCTTTAAAAGTATTATGTACTATTAAGATGTTATGCTTAAAATTGGCATTGTTTTTTTAAAATGAGCTCAAATGTACAATGTTATCAAAATTTTAAAGGAAACTGTTCAGATAATATTTGTTAACTTTTGAATGGCTTGACCACTTTTACTCAGTAATGAGATTTATTTATTGCTATTACATTATTACATGCTTATTTATACATATTACCTTATAGTAAAACTATGGTAATATGTATAAAATAACGAATAAAATAAGTAATTATATAAATCTAAGGAACAAAAAGTCATAATTTTTTTTGTTAGAAGAACCTATATTATCACAGTATACATCATTACATGCATATAGAAAAAACTTTATTATTGAATGAAATACACTGTGATGAATATTAAACAAAATTCACAAAACAACTAATTAATGTGGCATATTTTACAAAACATTTTTATACACACTGAAGATCCATAACAATATGACTACCCTCCATCTGTAATAATGGGTTCGCCCAGGAACAAAACTACTGCACATGAGTGGCTGACATTGGAGTATATAAAAGCGTTTTTCCAAACATAGCATGATTAGTGACATAATGGGAAAAACAGCTGATTTATCAGACTTTGATAAAGGTCAGATCGCTATGGCTCAGCAACATCAACATCAAAAACACGTGTTTAGTGAGCTGTTCAGTACAGTTGTTGTGAGCACATATCAAAAGTGATGTATAGATTGTGAAAGGACAAGTCACTGGCCAGCAGTGTATTGTCAATGGCACATTGATTTCAGAGAAGCAGAGACTGCTCCGCATTGTTCGCCGCGACTGAAGAGCTACAACAGCCGAAATCACCACCAGCTATAACTGTGCTGATCCAGACAGTATTTCTCAACACACTGTGCAGCATACATTGCACAGTGTATATATGAGCCTACGCAGACACAAGCCAAAGCATTTCCTTGCACTGACGGGACATCATTGCCCAGCTGTGTCTGCAATAGGCCAAGAAACATCGGAATTGGACATTAGAAAAATGGAAGAAAGGTGAATGGTCCGACGAATCATGTTTTCTGGTCCATCACATAGACAGGCATGTGCTAATACACCAATTTTCAAATGAAACCCTGGCTCCTGGATATACAGTTGGACGGAGACAAGCCGGTTTCGGTGGTATTATGGTGTGGGTAATGTTTTCATAGAGTACATTACAACCCATAATCCCCATACAACAATCATTGATGTACTATAGAAGAATGCTTGATTAAATAGTTGTTTAAACATAACACAGTTAAGAAAAAGAAGTAAAGATAGAATAAATGAAACTAAATGGGCTGCTATGATCTTAAACATTAGCTTAATTAATTCAACCCATTTAAAAATATATTGCTGTTTTATTAAGCTTGTGGAATTTCAAATATAAACATAGCCATTCCCATTCGCAGTTTTCACAATAAAAAACTAACGACTTTGGGAAGGATTAAAAAATTAAAACAAATGACTGTTAATACATGAGTTTATCAATAAGGAATTCTAATCAGGTTTTAATTCATACATAAAAACAAATTTCTTAGTATAATTGGTATAATGAACTAGTTTCCACATTATATGAGTTAAGAAAAATAAACTTACTGACAGACTATTGTGATATTAAAATACAAGCTATTAATACCTAGCTTTCATCTATTAAGTTTTTTAAGTGACTGAAGCTTTTTGTAGAAATATCTTCACAGAAGAATGGGCTTTGTGAAGCATAGATGGATAAAAGAGTTACCAGTTTGATACACATCTAAATGACAGATAAAATTATTATCAAATTTTGCACATGATTTTCTTGCACTTAAAAACATCTTTTCACATAACTTCAAGAGCAACTCTATGGTTTTGAAAAAATAATTTGGAAGGTTTCTTTCATAACAGTTCATTCCCTGCCATCATCATCATTACATCTCCTTCCACAAACGTCACATAATAACCCCTTGGAACTAAATCTGGGTTGTAAGATGAGGGCTCTTCAGGATCCTTAAATCCCCACTGGTGGTTTTGAATTGCTGAAAAAAGTCAGGCTAACCCTCTTGCAGAGACTCTGTTCATGGAGAATGAATAAAACAGTTGTTTTAGATAGATCCAATCTTACTCCTGTCTCCTTATCTCATATAATATTTTCTTTTGGATACAAGTAAAATGGCTTGATGTCAGTTCTTCCACAGGTTAACTTCAAATGAACTTCATTTACAGAGTCCCAGTTTCATCAGTTTTTTATGACACTGTTTTTGTTTTACAGTTCTTTCATGGTAAAATAGGAAGGAGATAAATCAGCATATATACAATCCAAACATTATTTTACATCTTTAAGATTAAGAACCATCTTCAGTCAAAAATTCAATCACAAAATGATACCCAGTTTTAAACATTTCAGAACAAAGTACATATCATTTAATTCAATGAAAATAGAAAAAAGGAATGCATATGATTTCTCTAATAAAACTTCATATTTATTGGCTTAGTACAGCCACTGCAACAATTTTTTACATCCTTGGCTGAAAATTTTTGGATTTACTTGTATCTATCAAGTAATTAAAACTTCATTATCATATTTATAAAAAGTTTAAACATGAAAGAAATAAAGTTTTAATTACCAGCATTTCCTTTTTGATAGGAACCAGAATCTATCTGAGATGGGTGTAAACTTTGAAATTCATTTAAACTCATAGTGCCTTTGTCTTTCTTTTGATTATTCTTCTTTTTCTTTTTCTGACCATTTTGTTTACCTAATTCTGTTTCCTTCTGAAGTGCATCATAAACCTAAATTAAAATAGTAACAATAATAAGTTCCTGATTGAGAAGAGGAGAAAATTATTTTTACTACTTCAAACTGCACCTTAGTTCAAAGATTTAGTTCTTAGTTTATTACGAAATGAGAAAGCGTTACAATAAAAAAAAATTTTAATTAGCTGATCTTCCATTCATGACTCATGGTTAACAATGTACCCTGCAAACATATAATGATATTACAGTCTGACAACTTTAAAATTTATATGCATATTTTGATTCACACAATTATCAACAGATTTTATACATATTCAATTTTAATACATAATCCTAAACAGAGATTTATTTGGTTCATTTAAAATAAGTATTTAAAACTTCTACAGAATGAGATGACAAAATTTCTCATAAAAAATTCACAATTGGTTCTTGCAATTGACTGAATCCGTGGACTATTTTTTTCCAACATATTCAGTTAAGCTGGCTTTTGAATGAGTGAAGTTGATAAGAAGCCTTTTACAATCCATTTAGTAGTAGCATAATAAAAGAGTTATTTACAAGGTACAAGGTAAAAATTCATTACTTTATTATAGCAAATAAATAAAATACCCTGCAAACATATAATGATATTACAGTCTGACAACTTTAAAATTTATATGCATATTTTGATTCACACAATTATCAACAGATTTTATACATATTCAATTTTAATACATAATCCTAAACAGAGATTTATTTTGGTTTCATTTAAAATAAGTATTTAAACTTCTACAGAATGAGATGACAAAATTTCTCATAAAAAATTCAGCACGATTGGTTCTTGCAATTGACTGAATCCGTGGACTATTTTTTCCAACATATTCAGTTAAGCTGGCTTTTGAATGAGTGAAGTTGATAAGAAGCCTTTTACAATACATTTAGTAGCATAATAAAAGAGTTATTTACAAGGTACAAGGTAAAAATTCATTACTTTATTATAGCAAATAAATAAATAAAATCTTCCCTTGAATGTGATTCTTGTAAAGTGTAAAAAGACACACTCCTACATTTGCTTCCATTTACTGATATAATAAAATTATACAACAACTTATAAGCATACTATTCTTTTAGCACTTTTTAATATATATATATAACTACACATCAAATAATATAAATTCCTGAAGAAATAAAGGATTTTCATATATACAGTGTAGCCTCAATTTACAAATCAACCGAAAAAAATTACTCTGGTGATAAACGGTGCGTTCTGAGTTAAGAACACTTTAATCAGTGCCAAATGATTTTTGAAGGTGTTTTTAGGTAGTCTCCAACACGGAATTAATACTCCAGAACTTCTGGATACGTTATTTTAACATTTTCATTGCAAAATTCTCCTTAAAAAAACTAGCCACAAGACATGACCATACATTTGGCCCGGATGAAATGATAGCCAGATTCTGTTGCAGGCAGAGACTTTTAGGGCTTTGGCACTAAAGACTTTTTTTTTGCCTATGGTCCTGGATCTGTACGCAAAACCATGGGCTTTAAAGATAATAACAAAGAAGTGGAGGAGTTACCAAAAGATTATGAAAATGAGCTCAAAAGTGAAGGAAATAAACAATTTCAGATGCAGCAACAAAAGGCAATTGTGGAGAAATGCCTTCAGAGAAAGAGGAAGGAAGCTAACATGGTCTTAGTTTTTTTTTTTTTTTTTTAAATCTGTAAAATTTCAATAAAACGGAATAAGGTACAATCTGATAAAACAGTAGCAAATTACAGCATTAGCATTTTCAACGACAATGCCATGTCTTACTTAAAATATTTTAAAACACAGATAGCAGCAAACCATACTGATCAAGTTTAGAATAAAACAGAGGCTCAGCGAGTCTCAAGCAGAGTCCATGGTGATAAAAAAAGTTTCGTCTTTCGTTTCTTTATTGCTCTCCACTTCTGCTCTCCTATACGCAAGTACAGTAAAATTAAATTTTCAGTCATTTTACCTATTGAATATCAAGTTTATAAATTTTTATCTTGGAGTTAATGCTTTCCTTTTGTTTTGTCTTATGAACTTTAGCACAAATTGCTATTGTAAAGTTTAAATAAGCAATCATCTAGAATCCAAGAGCAGATTAATCAATTTAATATTAATTTTTAAGGAAAAAGACAGTTTTGGTTTAGAGACATTTCAGGCAAAAAAAACTTAGGTTTCATTGTTCAAAGATGGATACAATAAGTTATGATTAATTGGACTTCGCTAAGCATTAAGAAATTATTCAAGAAATGCTACTGAATAGTTATATGTCAATATTTCCTTAATAACTTTAAAATAATAAAATCTCATAAGAAGTTAAAATTCTTTTCTTAGAACTCTGTGTATAATTATGAGAATGTCACCTAGAAATAATAAGCATATATAATTAAATATATAAAACAAACAACATGATTAATTCATGCCACACTCTAACCACAAATACTTTTGGTGTTTAATTCACAATATAACTGCTGATTTTCAAAAATGGCTATTGAGGCAGTATTTCACGTGATGTGTCAGAAATTCGCATATCAGTTTTATCCCAGTCAATTATTATCTTATAATGCCATGCAGCTAAAGTAATAATGAAGTTCTGATAATTTGTTCCAGTCATATTCTAAGTGACCAAAGAGATTTTCATCATTTTCTCAGAAAATATGTCGATACCAAGCAGAAAATCTTCCCTTCCTTTAAGCGGAGGACTGGATTAAAACTACAGGTCTTAAGCACTTGAAATAATTTGGTGCCTCCACATATATTTACATCAGTATTTTCCCTATTCTTTCATACTCGACTTATTTAACTGCACCATACATTTCATGGTAATTGGCAATATGAAATTTTTGTGTCCCCTTTCTTTGATGTCCCTTTTCTTTGATGCCCTAAGCATTAGCTTACTTTGTTTAATTCAGCTCTGCTTAAGCAGATAGCCACTGCGCTTAACAATAAATATTAACAGATTAAATAATGTAAAGCAATTCAATGATTTTACTATCAGATTCCTTTGACTCACAGATACCAAATGGCGGACTATAACACTTGAATTACAACAAAGTTAACCAAATTTTTAACAATAATAGTAATAAATATTACATATCAATATCATCAAGCTAACTATTTAAACAAATTTCTTTAACAAAAGTAGAAAATTTAAAAAGTAGTAAAACAGCAGAACCCAGGGTTAGTAGACACTTGTTTACATGAAAATTAAGGACTCTTAAGGATTTTAAAGGACTATCAAAGAAAAAAAAATTAAGGGCCTATCAGAAATTAAGAACTGAATAAAATAAAACAATTATCTACAAAACTAACTTCTCTCTTGCAATATCATTTTAAGAAAAAACAGAAGTACGTATGACGCACTATTATTAAACCCAATCTATACTTAAATGCACAATAAGTTTTAGAATGAAACCGACTCCCTAAAAGTTATCAAGTAATAACATTAAATTAGGAATATAATTTCTTAAAACATGTATAAGTGTATTTTAGACTTAACCCATTAGCCTCTGGTGTTACGTTGATGCAACGGTCAAAATAAATGAGTATATAAATATAACTACCTAAGATATTTTATACTAGCAGATGATTTTGTGTAGGGAATATTATGAAGATTATTTCTGTAAAAAAATATTTACCTTCAACAATCATTTTGTTTACAATAATTAGTCTCATACTTTAAGCAAAATTTTCGACCGGGTATTTATGCTGAAAATATAGAATCTCCATCTTTATGAGTGATCTATTTTTAGTCAAGGTCACCGTTTATCAGAACATTACATCAGTCAGATGTTTATATATATGTTGGGAAAGAAGGAAAAACAGGTGTTGCGCTGACGCAACGTCAGCAGGAAACGGGCAGTCAATATCCTTTTTTACTCATTCCTTTCAATGTTCTGGTTGTTTAAAAATGCCTAGAATGAGGTATCTTACATTAGAAGAAGCCCTTCAAAGATTTTTTGATGAAGAAGCGAATGATGATAATGTTAATAATGAGCAGAATGAAACTGATATTGTTGTTGTTCCCCCAGAAATTGCAGAAGCTAGTGACGAAGAAGGAAAGAATGGCAATGTTTTAAATAATGATAATGATATTTTACCAAATGATACTGCTGGGGAAGTTGAAATTCACGTATGAAGTAAGTTTCAGCCTTCTTAAAAGCAGTTATAGTCATACTAAAAAGTTTAAAAAGCAGACTGAATCTTGAAGTGGATTTAAAAAAGGAATGTTAGTTATGTCTCAAGTAAGAACATGAAGAAAGAGATAGAAGAGAAATTATAAAACAAAATACACTTTAAAACTAGTGCACAGATTTTCGATTTTCTTTTGGTTTAGACATTTACTGTCTTCGTTGAACAGACAAATATATAGAAAAAAAAAAAAAAAAAAAAAAAAAAACAAAAAAAAAAAAAAAAAAAAAAAAAAAAAAAAAAAAAAAAAAAACAAAAAAAAAAAAAAACAAAAAAAACCAAATTTATGCACTGAAGCCTATATGAGAAGATTTATTGGCACATTATTGCTTACAGTTTACCATTCTTTACCTCAAGAAAATGTATTGGTTTTGATAAGGACATTCTGTCCTGTTGTACGAGAATCGAATCACGTTTGCAATACAGGATATGAAGCAGAATTTGCATTTGACAATACTGATAAATTATATGAGGTGAGACCGTATCTAAACTTACTAAATATTACCACTTTTTACTACTGGAAATATAAAGTCTCTTTTAGATTTCAGACGCGAGGATGCATTATTCCTTTTGCAAACTCCTACTGAGAGTGTAGAATTAGCCAGAAATAGATCAGCAACAGAAAGACCTAGTAAATTCAGCATTCAAAAACCATTGCATGGAGATGGCATACATTTTATTGTAAAGTCCGTTGATAACAAAAGACTTTGTTGTAAAGAGTACTATAGCCAGACTGTTTATAGATGCAAATTATGTAATGTAGCTTTACACCATGATTGTAATCAAGCTTTTCATGCTTGAATCTTTCAAAGAAATACAATGTATATTTTAATATTAAATGAATTACAAGTAAAGTGATTTGTAGATTTATAAAACGTTATACAGCTAAAAAGTAATCCTGCGCTCCACTCAAAAGAAACATCACACGAGTACAATCCTACTCACTAAACATCCATAGTCTTATTCCGCTGACGTTGAGCGAATGCAACACTCGCTTTTCCACAGGTAAGAGCATTTTTTTTCTTATTTTCAATGTAAATTTATGTTATAAATGCTTAATTTAATATTTGTTATTATTTTCATGAGAAAAGAAACATTCCTTGTAGTTTGGGCGGTTAATGGGTTAAAACAGTGATACACATTTTAAAGATTTACGTGATCATTATTTAATTTTTTTAATAGTTATTCAAAAGTACTATTAAAATCACAATGTAAGATAATTTTTCAGTTTAAAATAACAGATTAGCAAACACAATTTATTTCTTTGGCTTCAGAAAAATGTACTAGAATAACTATACAATGAAACATACAAAACATTTATGTTTTTTAAATCCAAAATTTTTTCTGATATTTTAGTATTTAATTTATTTATGTCTATTTCTTTTTTTTTTTTTTTTTAACTACTTTTCTAAGTTCATTTGCTCTGATAAACAAATCAATGTTCCAGTTGGTCTCTACTTCATCTGTTAAAGCCATCTGCTTCTTTATTAAAACTTTCAATATCCCTTTGAAGAAAATTTTTCTTCTGCTTCATATAATCAATTTCTTCCTCAACAATTTTTCTTTTCTTTGAATTTTCAGATTTAGTTTTAAAGATTTCTGTAGTATTTAGAACATGAAAAAGCTGCTGCTGATCTCATTTCTTTATTAATTTTGATATTAAGAATTCCTCTAGAAAATTTTATGTAAATACTATCAAATATTGCACCTTGAAAAATGTATGATGAGTCTCTTAAATTTTCAGTTTCAATTGCTTTATTTACAGAAAAGCCTCTTTCCACCAAGGTTTATCCATTTGACAAGATAAAAATAATTTTTACAGTTTTGCCCCCTTTGAATAGTGAAAATAAGGAGTGAGAAATGCGTCAGTAGAAAGATTATGGGGATCAAAAGTAGAAAATGCACGTGTAATTTTGTTTTAATTATTTTGTCCAAAAACTCCCAAAACTGCAGAAGAATTTCATCACAATCATCTTGTAAAACACATTTATTCCATACTAAAACCATTAGAGCTATTTTCATTTTGTTTCTAAGCCTTTTTCTGGATTTTTAGCCATTATTCACGGGTCTATACAAAATGCATTTCGAATAAGAGAAATTTATTGAACATTTGGCCATTGTTACCATTGTTAACATGCAGTGTTGAACCATTGTTAACATGCATTGCTGACCTTGTTTCTATGCAAAATTTTCAGCCAATGAAATGTGCTTCTTGCATCATCTTTTATTAACTGATCAGCAATGAATCTTAAATAGACTTTACTCTAACATTATTACAATTTAGGTTTCTAAAAGTAAATTTACAAAGATTTTCTGCTTCAATCATCTTTCCATATTCAGGCTTTAGAATTTAAAGTGTTGAAGACAATCATTTACAAGTTTTAAGATATCTTCAGCCAAAAAAAAAAAAAAAAAAAAAAAAAAAAAAAAAAAAGAATTAGTGGTTGATCTCTTTGAGAATGTTCAAGGACAGGCAATAGCATTTTCGACACAGAGAGAATAAAGTTTAATTTTAATAAGAAATGTTTTATCTTTAGTTGCCTCTACAACATATGAGAATGATTTTGATGATTTTTTTTTTTAAACTGTCCTCCTTCAACTTTTTTAATGTATTACAGAAAGTCATTCTAAACTTCAATAGTTCTTTCAATTGCTGGAAATTTTGACACCACTGGTAAAAGCAGAACTTCACAGGAAGCTTTTTAAAATCAGATATATTTTTAAAATCCTCACATTTTGAATGTTATATTTCTGTAGCAGGTCCTGCGACAATAATTCATAAAATTTCCAATTTCCTGCAGCACCATCCATTGATATTTATAAGAGTTTTGACAAGTACAGGTTTTCAATACATTCATAAAATTTCAATAAAATAATTTCACTCATTGTATGTTTTATAATTGCCCAAGTCAGGTACCGAGTTCTGACGTTATTTTCTTGTATCTCACATAATACCTATTTATTGTTTTTTTATTTGTCAGATTAAGAGTCTCATAAAACAGTAACGTAAAAAACTCAGCTTCTTTACAGTGTTTTAGTAACAAAGTTTTAAAATAAGGGTCAATACTAAAATAACACTTTTTTTTTTTTTTTCCAGTTCTATGAAACTGTTTTGCAATGGAACTGTCCGGGAACATTTTAATGAAAAACGGCCCAATGATCATCACACAATTTATAAGAAAATTGGCTTCTTATGCACTTATTAGTCCATAATATTTCTGCATCTATAACTTCAGATTTCAAAATAAATGAATTAATGCTATTATTTTCTACACTTATTAATGTTGGATTAGCAATTAGATCTTTTTCTGAAGGAGATGGTTCTTGTGGCTTGATAAAATTCATGATACTATAAGAGGAACATTTGCAGTTGAGAAGAAAGCAATGTTTTGCACCTATAAATGACTTGCATGGCATTAGTAAAGTTAAATATTTTATTTATATATATATAAAATAAGCAATGTATATTTTCAGTTAAACTTCTGCTCAATAACTTTAGCAATTGATGAAAGCTAATTCTGTTGTCTACCAAATTAAAGAAAATTAGTTTAAATTAGTTGTTTTCAACTTCAAAAATTGATTACTAAATATCATATTAACTGGTGTAGTTTATTTCTGTTTATTTATTTTATTTCTTCCTCTTAACTTTCTGCAATATTAACAGCTATATGTAGCTAACAATTTAGAGGAAAAAATACAGTATATATTAGAATCAGTTTTATACAGATGTAACTACCAATGCCACTAAAAAATATGCATGTATTTTTGTGTTTACATATTGAGAAATTTTAACAGTTTATAACAAATCAGTAATAATTTAAAAATAAGTGATAAAATAGCTTGATATCAACATATATTTTATGCATTCTCGTTATATATTAAAGCTTAAAAAAAGTCTTATATTGAGAAAAAGTACAGCATTATGAAATATTCAGGCAAGCATTTCCATACAGATTTTGTCATACATAAGCATTGCCAAAATTTTGATAATGATACTATTATATTGGCAATATTTTAAATGTGTATTCCACGTGTAGCAACCATGCCACTTGCCGGGCATTTTATTTTTGATTTATTAATCTTCTGTTTTGTTTATTGCTTCCTTGCCTTTTTGATAGTGAATTTTTATTCAGGAACTGCCTTTAATTTCCAGTAATAAATAAGAGAAATTAATTTAAAATTAATTTAAATAGAAAGTGATCAAAAATGCTCTCTATGTATAACGTGCTAAACTACGTAGAAAGTGATCAAAATTAATTTATGACTTAATTCAAACAGACAGAGAAACCATGCTAAAAAAACACATAAAGACAAATAAAATGATAAAATGAATTTTATCTTTCATGCGAATTTTCAGCGCTGACTCTCCCATTCCAGAAAGATCAATTTTTTCCCACATAAATAGCAGATTTAGCTTTTAAGAGGATTATTATTCATTAATATCCAGTCTTTATAATCAGCTTCATGAAGTCATAATTTATTGAAAGGGCACTTTCCAGGCGTCTCAAACTAAGCATTTACTGCAAAGCTAATTAAACATTGTTCAAATAGTAATATCCTTCAAATTTTGCTAGAATCTTTTATAGTACATAAACTATAGTCTGACTTAAAAACTGCCTCATCAGCCAAACACTAGTTCTTTTTCTTTCATTATTTGATGCAGAACTTTTTTCCAAAAGAATGCTTTAGGTTGTCTGCACTGTTCCTATTGGCACCGGAGCAAATGTTGCCTCCTCCCAAATTTAGACTGTTCTGATTTTGAAAAATATTTTCAGAATCCCTCCCCTTTTCTCTCATCATCTTTTCTGTCCCCTGAAAAACTTCTGATAACTTCACTGATAACATGGAGATTTTCCTGTCCTTTATGACACTACAACCTCCTTGAAGGTCATGCTTTCATTAAAATCTTATAAACTTGTTGCTAACATTTATTTAAAAAAATTGGGTGAACAGCCATTCGGACACTCCAAGATTTTCATGTTGTTTTTCATTATTTGCAAAGCCAATTTGCCAATGTTGTGCAATTTTCGCCAAATGTGCCACTTAGAATGGTAGTCACTGGGACTTAAAAGAAATGTCCAACAAGCAAAATTAAGGTCTGTTTATACATTTTGAACAAAATTAAGGACTTTTAAGAATAAAAAAAATCATTTAAACAAAAAAAAAAAAAAAAAAAAAAAAAAAAAAAAAAAAAAAAAAATTAAGGACTGTACGAAACTTTCAACCTCATTAACCTGATGTAACCAAAATATGAAATCACTATTTGTAACATATATGCATATCTAAACAAATACTATCAATAGAAAATACAAAATCCAAAGCAATTCTTCAATTACCCCTTATATTCTGAGAATTTACATAGTAAATTTAGGCTAATACTGAGAAAATTGCATGACAAGTTATTCAATTTACTTGAAAATTCACCACTGGGAAAAAATATTTAGGTCCCAATTTTAAAAACTGATATTTTAAAATATTTCTTCACAAATCATTTAATATTTATTATTCTTCAAATAAATAAGATATAAAAAAATCTTAATATTCATACATTAATAATAAAGCATAATATTTTAAAAACATTACATAAATAATATTCATACAATAGATAGATTATACTTAATTACATCTTTCTTTTCTTCATAATCAAATAGCTTTTTCATAACAATAGATAGATTATACTTAATTACATCTTTCTTTTCTTCATAATCAATTTTACTTAGGAGTAAAGCTTCTTGCAGATCTTGTTCATATGCTTCTGAAACAAACTGAAGGAAAAAAAATTAAATTTCATGATATAGCAACAAATGAAATAAAAGGTTTCTTAAAATTTACATTTTAAGTTATAAATTATGTCCAAGAAATATTTTTATTGTAATTATTTTGTTACATCTATTTAATTTATTGCTAGAAAACATCAATACTATAAATCCAAATACTCTTTATTTTGTTTTCATAAGAATTTTTTAAGCAGTTTTAATTTAACATCGTTCCCCCTGATTCCCTTGGGAGGGGAGTAGAGTTTTTTAAAACTTAGTTTTGTACTTACTTATCTTATCATCGACCACGAAACTGTTGCCAAGGGATGTGCTTTAGCAACAATTATGGGTGAGCATGATGTACCAACACACTTAAAACATTTGTGCTTTCCCTTGATGTAACTTCAGCTGATTCTTAATAAGCCCCATTTTGTTTTTATGAACAAGGCTATAAATTAACTGTTATTGCTGTATTTTTTCCCTCATATTAAAAAAGCATTTACCTACCAATTAGAAAAAGCATTGGTTGCAATTTCAAGAAACTGAATGTCTTTGCAAAAGCCCAGGCCAAGAGGGTGTGTCAGCAGACGTCAGACAAATAGATGACAGTTTAGTAGATAGTCCAAGTCAACTAATAGAGCTTGTAGAGAACTAAGAATACTCCAACCAAGTGTATGGCATGTTTTAAGACAGCGTTTGCCATGTAAGTCTTACTGCTTACAGCCTATGCAGGCTTTTAGTAAGAATGACAAAAAAAAGTGTATTGAATTTTATGGTGATATGCTAAAAATGATGAAGGATGACACATTTAACCTATGCTTAATTCTTAGCAATGAAGCTACATTCCATCTTAGTGGCAAAGTGAATTTAGACATTTGCATTACAAATGTTTTAGCGAGCCCTATAAATATTTTTTTTGTAAATATAATATTGTGAATATTGTTCGTAATTCTATTTAGTTGAAATAATTCTTCTAAGCCATTTAAAAGAGATTCTATTAAACTATCAGAAGAACTGTCGAAAGGTTTAATGCAATCGTATAAACCGTTGAAAAGTTGCTGTTCAACCGATTAACATTCCATGTATATTATTTACTGGGTGATTATATAAATGAACATCTGAATTCGAAGCTTGCGCAGTTTGGCTAGCTGCCAAATTTGAACAAAAAACTGTGCAATTAACTGAGATTCCAGCAGTTTTTCAAGTAATTTAGTAAAGATAGCATTTGAAAAGACTGACTTCATGTTTGAAATTGAATCAATCAATGACTGATATAAATAATATTGCTTACATTAAACGTAAATGTAATGCACTGTCAATCAAAGAACGCACTGTGAATCTTAACATTGTTCTGCCCTATCTACTTACTTCAACTGCCTTCAGTAAGTGAATTTGCATTGCTGTGAACTCCTGTTCGGAAGCCTCTGAATTGAGGAGAAATCATCGTAGAAATGCTGAATTTGTGCTTATTTTGTTTGTGAATATCTGCTCTACAAGAAGATACCAGAAGTTTGGATAAATAATTTAGAAAATATCAAATGCAACGTGCTACAATGCTAATCGTGAATATAGTGTTCGTGAAATAGTGTTCTGTTTTTGGTGTTTTATGTGTTTCCGGCGATTAAAATTGTATGGTAGTTGGTGTTCTCCAATCTTGATTGGTTCCAGCGGTGCAATATTTGGATATATGGATTAGCGATTAGGTTATGACATCCTAAGTGCTATATTGTATTTCATTCATATTAACAGTGTTGGCTTTAGTTTTTCCTTATGCAAATTTTGATCAGAGGTCAATCGGCGGTAAGCTAACGTGGTTGCTGCTGATTGGCCGATGACGTCAAGAACGGCGGGTTGGCCGAGTATTATATGTACACTGGTATCGGCGAATGTGTTTTATTATGAGTTAGCATAATGCTAGTTTTCTTTCACTCAAATGATTTTAAATGTAAAGGCTACAGTGTTAGCTTATTTTATTTTTAATTTACGGAATAAAGTATGAATTTTATTTAGATTAGTCTTAGCTTTATTTAAGGGAAGCAAAATATGCTTTGCCTTTATCACCACTGCCAACAAATAGATTATTGTGTTGGTGCTCAGAATTAACTCATGTAAAACCAAAAATAACATACAACGGTAAGGCATTTTCTGGTTTTGCTGAAAATGCAATCAATGCAGAAGTAACAACAATTCAAGCTGTTATGGTATGTTCATTAGTTTCAAAATACAAAGAAATTATTGCACTGGCACCAGTACTTAATATGACTGCTAAAGATGAATTAGATATATGTAATAACAAGAACCAATACATTAAAATTAATGATAATGCACATTCTATAGTATGCTGTCTTTTGTATAGTATGCAGAAAAGGTTAATGATTTTAAAGTGTATAAAATGTATGATCGAAAAAATAATGTTAAGGAAACATTAGCATTACTATGAAATATTGTAATCTATAATTATGTGATATTTAACTGTGCAATATTAAAAAAACACTTAATATTTTTTATTGATTGCAAATTGCAGTTTTATTACTTTTCATTTGGCATCTATTCTTCAAAACACTGTGTAATTCGTGTTTTTTTAGATATTGCCGTTATGTATGTTTATTAGATTATCTTAATAAATGAATGTTGAAATTAGGTTTTACTTTTTAATAAATTTAACTACATTTTATTTTCTTCACTTACATTTTATGTGAATGTGATAACAAAGAAATTCATAATAAATAGAAACAAAAAGTTTCATCGTGAGCTATTTAACGAAGAGTTTATTTTAACATACTTAGCTTACTATCGTATACTATATTATTTAAATTATTTCTGTACAGTATTATAAAAAGTGCATGAAATAATCATTGTAATCTGCCACTATTATAAAATGTAGAAACTAAAAATAAGTAAATACATTAACATATGATCGAAAGAAATGGTGTTAAGGAACATCAGCATTACTAGTAAATACTGCAATGAATCCATAATTATCGCACTTTTAATTGCTTACTATTTAAAAAAAGAAAAAAAAGAAAAAAAAAATTTTTTTTTATTAATTGGAAATTTTAGTTCTGTTACCCTTCCTTCTGCTATTTATATGGGAAGTTTTTTTTTTTTTTTTTTTTTTTGGGGGGGGGGGGGTTATTAGATTTTAGGTATATTTTGATTACATTTATTAACTACTTTATACAGTATTTCATTTGCATATCTTGGAGATATAGAAGTTAATGGTTATATTTTTTACTATAAAATGCGAATAAATTTATACTTGAGTTCAGGTAAAAAACTGATTATGTTACCTTAAGAACCGCTTCCTAATTTATCATGACACGGGCAATTTTCAGTGTCTCTGAGATTTAACAGAAATAAATGTGATAATGCTGTTATAATCAGAAACGCTCTTTTTTTTTTTTACCCACATATATATATTTACTTTTAGTTATGTCTGATTGAGTTTTATTTTTTAAAACCTACTATTTATGTTATATATTTATAATTACCACTTTCATAATTACTCTCACTTACATACTAAATTATTAAGGAAAAAAAAAAAAAAGATGAAAATTTAAATAATCATAATTTGGAAGTTAAGTTATTAAAAAAAATATAGTTTAAAGTATTGAAAATAATTACAACTATTATTAATTATGCATATTTATTCTAAAGAGAAAAAAATTGTATTATCTTCTGGTTTTCAGGAAATGATAAAATATTTAAAAAAAAAAAAAAAAAATTAAGAAGAAAAATACATTAATTATTAAGCTTATTTTTCTGCATAAATCAACATGTAACACAAGGGCATAATAATGACGTTTTCACAACTGTTGCAAAAAGGTACAATTCTGTGAATATTTAGGCGTCATTAAGGCGTCGTGATACAATGCTTTCACAACCCAAATATAACCTACGAAAGACGCAATAACGATGTCTGTGCGATAAAAACCTCATCTGCAAAGACGCAATAAAGACGTCTTTGCAATGATTGCAAAACAGTGGAGTTTCACAGACATCTGGGCGTCTTAAAGACAACATATTGCAACGGCATCCGAACGACGTAGCCGTGCTACTTGGGTTACTGGTCAGCTTTCAACTAAATGCTGAACTTCGCAATCAAATCTTCAAATTAAGTCTACAAGAATGCATTTCTACAAAGCTGTGGAACTAATGTAGAGTTATCGGAAATGCTGCTGAACAAAATTTTAAAAAAAATCTGAAATGTTTCAGATTTTAAATTACATCTAAAGGGGCCTTTTTTAAAATGCTTTGTGCGTTACCATTATTTATTAAATATCATGTTCTTTGCACTTAAACCATAAAATTTATTTCAATAGAAATGTTGCAAAATAATTTTAAAACGAGCATATCTTTAGAATTTCCAATACACAGTTCGACGTGACAGAGATAAAAAGGTGCTTTCCCCCCCACAGAGTGTTGCCATTGCTCGCTTTTAAGTTGTTGAGTTTGTTACTCAAAAATTTGTTAAAGTTTTACAAAATACGAAATCAATAATAAAACTAATTCCAAATTTGGGATTTCAGACGCCCATATTCGCCATTCAAAATTGGATGGCTCTAGATACTGTTGTTTTATCACAATGCAAGAAACATACATACATTTATGCAGATTTTTCATTATTTAATTTCTTCAAATATACTGCAGGACTCTAACATTTTGTGGCAGCAGTTTGAAAAGTGAACCAACATTTATAGGAGTCCGACGCAAAATGAAAGTACGTGCCAAAACAAAAGTAATAGTCCTTCAGAACTCAAATCCCTTTGGACTAATAATAATAATAATAATAAAACACAATAGTGGTTGTCGGAAACTTTCAATAATTTCAGAGGAATTTAGAGCATTCTCCTTAAAAGAAATTTTTCCTTTAAATGGAAAATGGACAAAAAATAAATAAATACATAAAAATAAATAAAATAATTCTTAATTTTAAAACACATCAAAAGTTCAAATTAAACATACTTCACTATCTTTCATTTTCCATTCTTCCCACTGTTTTTGATTTGAATTATTCGGCTTTGAAGAATTAGATGATTTCTGTTTTCCTTTTGTACCATGAGTACCAAATGCAAGGCTTTGTAGCTAAAATTCAAAGAGAAAAAAAAAATTGTGTTAATAAAGTACAAAGTCTATAGTCTTTAATCTGGACATATCTATAATCCGGACCTCAAAGCTACAAACTTTCTGCACATGCGTAAACGCATAATGCATTTATGCAAGCGCATAATACCTTTACGCATGCACGTTTAATGTATAACGGACGGTATAAGCTAGGCTAAAATTATCTAATTATATATTTCAGTTAATGTTGCAGATTGCATTGTTCCTTAATTTTCTAATTGGATCTGGCTTATTATTTTTTGCAGACTGTTAGAGCAATTTATAAAAAGTAAGCTTGAACTTTCGATTATGTCGAAAAGAGTTTCCGATTCTGGAGCTGCCAAAGGATCTACAAAGCGAAAGCATGTTTCGATGTCCATCAACTAAAAGGTGGAATTGCTGCAAAAAATGGATAAAGGCATATCCTTTGTTTCTCTAACCATTCCAAAATCTGTCTATCAATTTCACGCTGCTCTGCGCGGGGCGCGACGACGCTCACGATGAACTGGAAGTTGATCTGTCAGCACTATCCTTATCTTCAGGGCAGATGTTTTTATTTTATTCGGCATATAATTTCTTACTAAATGTAGTATTTCATCTCGATGTACTCTGTCTTTGATATGATTTAAATCAAATTCCCCGTCATTATAAATGTCACGAATACACATCAAATAGTTTTCTGGGTGCAATTTTCTAATTTCGACTATGAGTAATGTATGCTTTACGCATGCATGGGTTGAAGAAATGTTTAATAAAGTAAACAGATAAATATTCAGCTTTTTTTTTTTTTTTTTTTTGGTAAATTTTGATACCCTTTAGATCATAATTGCTCTTTATTTCATAAATTACGGTTTCATATTTTTAATTTGTGTCTGCATGCCATCTTACCAGATTTGAATTGATGATCTACAATCCAGAAAAACCCCTAATACGGAATAGCCAAAGTCCCGACGAAACCGGATTAAAGACTTTGTACTGTACAATACTTAACATTAACAATTGCATTTTAATGAATTTTACAAAATTTCTGTATAAAGTAACTGATTTATAATCAGAATTTTTTTTTTTTTTTTTTTTTTTTTCAATTGAAGAAAGTAACTGTGAAACTGCCACAATTTTGTGACAATTACTGATAATCGTGAAGTCACAACACACTAATTGCATCTATGCCTTCATTTGATGTAGCCCTGATTTATTAATAAGCCAACTTTTGTTTTTATGAACAAGAATAAATATTTATAAATTCACTGGCGTGCTGTATTTTCCCTTGCATTTAAAAAAAAAAGAAAATCTGCAGGAAGTTTTTACTTATAGCATTCTAAACAGAGCTTTTCATAAAATCAGAGGGCCTAACAAAATAAAAGAAATTCACAAAAGCAAAATTGAAGAGAGCTGAATACTAATGCAGGCTACTTGACGGATTGTTCAAAGAGCCTGACAATGTTTTATTATAAGAGTTGCTGAGAGAAGTGAAGCTCAGAGTTCCACATGAATGTGTGCTAGAACTTTGTCGAGATTTCTGCCAACCTTCATGGCTAATGGGATAATGTGCAAGTAGTGAAAGTAGAAATAAAATATCAGCACAGGATATAGTTGAATTTTGCTAACCTTGCAGCATCTTTAATGATTTATCTTTCAATAATTGTATAACAAATATTGCTATTTATGTATTAATGCAACCACCTTGACACAATTTGGTGAATGTTTGCAGATGAAAAGTTGAAAGTTACTTAAGGAAACTATTGATATTTATGGTAAGTCAGCATTCATTATCAAATTACTGAAGAATAAGAAACACTAGCAATTTAAAAAATACAAATTTTAGTTATTAAATAAGGATCATATAATACAAGAAAAAATAACTCTTATTTTCGAGAAATCGTTCTATAATTTTATTTCTTTCTTAGTGTAAAAGAATCTTGTTTTTCCTTAAAAAAAAAAAAAAAAAAAAAAAAAAAAATAGAGAGAGAATTACACAACTTTGGCATCATTAACAGGCTATCTCTTAGACACACCTCACCATTGTACCTTTTAGCAATTATGTGATAAAAATACTGTATTCCTGGAGAAATTTCTACCGCAATTTCTTCCATTGCTGTAAATTATATTAGCAAAGAATTTAAAATTCAGTTTTAAGCCTAAAGATATCACTATTTGTTTATAAAATAATTGGAACTTGGAATACAAGAAAAACAATGCCTAGAAAAAGGGCAAAATTGCTTATCTGAAACAATGTTATGAGTATGGTTATCTGAAGAATGTTTATCAGCATGGCTACAAGTTTGGCACATTCTGGCAACTTCTACTAACATGGTTGTGATAATATGCAAGTATCTAAATATTTTTACACTTCTCAGAGTAAACATGATTGTTTATAAAATATATTCTGTTTAAACAGCAGTTTCATTATTACTGATTACAACAGAATTTTACTTATAAATCTCAAATGCAATGTCGCCATGTAAAAATAAAAGTAAAAAATAAAATTATAGTTATGATCATTGACAAAATACCCTAAGTACGTAAAAATGTGGAGCATTCTTAGTATAGGGTTGTATGGAGAGTATACTTTATCAAAGAGGCATGTTATAATGATGTAAAGATGCCATCATCCAAACTACAGAGTTTATATATGCAAGTACTTCATGCATTAAGTAAAATAGGAAGTGATAATTGTTTTGCAAGGTTATAAAGTCTTCCCCAAGTAAACCAATCACTAGAAAAAACTAGGGAACGAAAAAGAAGAAAACAAGTTTCCTCCTAGTTTCAGCTACTTGCAGATCTTGAAAAAAATTGTGAATAAATTTACTTGAATGATTAATTAAAAAAAAAAATGTAATTATCTTGCAGAAAGAACTGCAAAAAGAAATAAGATTTTAGTTTTTCTCAAAAATGTGAAAAACAGAAACAGGGAAAAAATCCTTTCTAAAGCAGGCTAATCTTGTCTTGTCTGATCTTGTCCTGGATAACAACACCGCAAACTCAAAAAAATTCCTTTAGTTTTTCTACCTTGACTATAAAAACTGAAAATGTTTGTATATTTTAATTACAGTTATTTATATGAGTTATCAGACAGTTCTGTACAGCATGAAATTTCTAAAACATTTCTACCACTATTTTCTTGCTTTAACTATGGACAAAGTTAACCAGGGTTCATAGCCACATTTTGGTTAAAAAAATAAGCACATATAAGCCTTTTTCAAGCACATTTTAAGAAAAAAATAAGCACCTGTCTAATTACATTATACACAACTGCATAACCTTAAAAATTAGACTCGTAATTTAAAATATGAGAAATGCAGTATTTATTAAGAGAGAATAAGCATTACCTCAACCATGGAAAATAATAATTACTTTTTTTTTAATTTTAAATAAACAGTTCAATTTACAGAACTAGTTTACAATGAGAGGAAAAAAAAAAAAAAAAAAAAAAAAAAACTACGCAGAACTAAACTATATTACAAGATTTAATGATGAAATTTCAGTTCAAAATAGAAGAAATAAATAATAATAAGGCATATTTATTCTATTCGCTTGGAACTTAATAATAAATACAATTTATTTTTCCACTTATATAGATATTTAACTAATTTAAATCTAAATTCTGAACATTTTCTAAATTTTCATTGTATATCAGTTTTCCCTTAACAAATATTGCAAGCAAAGTAATTTAAGTAAAAAAGAGGAACATTTCTGAAAGCAGAAGACAGAAATTTGCTTCATGCAGTCATCCTTTAACAGTAAACTTTAACTACCCGCATACTTAAAAATTGGCGAATATTCGAACTGTCGAGCATAACTTGAAAAAGAGGAGCGGAGGGGGGATAGACTGTAGTCGTTCTTTAGATTTTTCTGCTAAATAAATACTTTTGACATTTCGGTATGTGCATCGTATAAAAACAAATCAATGGAACAGAAAAATATTCTGCTTGCAAGCACAGTAAAACTCATTTAAGTATTCGTAAACAAATCTTGGACGAACATCAAAATTAATTATCTCTGCAAAATATCTTGTGCAATAAATGCACCTTAATTCTTCCCTACATGATATTACGCAATCGGTTTCAACAGCTGCCGGTATTGGGAGAATAAAGAACTAAATAAAGGAAAAGAAAGAGACTTGCCAATCTGGGGTGTTTTTCATTCTAATTTTCAACAGACTGCATTAAATTTCCGGAATAGAATCATTCTTCTCTTGGGTTGGTAGACCGCAGAGTACGTTTAGTCCTATTCAATCCAGATTGGAAAATGACAAAAAAAAAAAAAAAAAAAAAAAAAAAAAAAAAGTCCGTTGCTTGTTTTTCAGTGAACTGTAACAGTTTCAATATTCGAGATTTTGCGGAGAAAGGGGAAAACCTTTCAACCTTCGTACTGTATAATGTATTGGCCAAAAAAAATGAAATTATTTTGACTATTCGATTACTTTCCTTTTATTTAAGCCATTCCGAATATTATTCCTTAGAAAGCTAATCTGTGTTGAAACACAGCCATTTTTGGAAGTTTACGATACTTCAGCAGTTACTGCAACTATGTTATTATAAACATTCATACATATGCTCATAATATAAGCATAACGATCATAATAAACACGAATATGAACTGACCAAGCGGAACGAGAATGCAAATTATTAAGATCTTGATAGAAATTCAAACGTGTGTAGTATTTGGGTGGGAAGAAAAGAATGCCGAATGTACCGGAATTTTCTACTGCGTTTGCAATTCTTTGACCAATAGAACGACAGGCACCTGTCTGTACTCTCCGCGCATACCAAAGGTTATGTTAATACAGAGAAAGCGGGAAAAGCTATTTCCAAGAGTATGATTCTCCATCTGACATTCCATATTAGGAAGAAAAGTTTATTTAGTTTCGGCTTTGGTACAGGGAAAAATTGTGCGTTCATTAAAAAAAAAAAGCACTAAAAGCAAAAAATAAGCACTAAAAACAAAAAAATAAGGGCTTTAAAGCAAAAGTAAGCACCTAT